GACGCCGACGACAGCTCCCTCCTCCTCCCGCCTCCCGCTGTCGATCAGACGCCGACGACCTCCCGCCTCCCGCTGTCGAGACCGACGCCGACGACCTCCCGCCTCCCGCTGTCGAGACTGACGCCGACGACAGCCCCCTCCTCCTCCCGCCTCCCGCTGTAGAGACCGCTAACGTGCAAATGTTGTACAGTTTCTTTGATGGCGAATTCTGACTTCCACATTCATTCTTTTCTCTTTATTCGGTGAATTGGAGTCACAGAGTTAAGAAGTAGTTGTTGAAAAAATATGAGTTTTTTTGGTTATTTTCATGTTAATTTGAAAGATTCTTCTAATTTCTAAATAGTTTCAGAGAATTTGTGGGTAGAAGCAAAGATCTTTGCAACTCAGGACTCAATCAAAGAATATACTTCTCTTCACAATCAATACCCAATTTAGGGATATTCTTATTAATAAAGGATATCACTTCATAAAACATGAAGTAATAATTTCCCTGTTTTTATCTTGTATGCAGAAGTTGATACAGTAAACAAAGACAATGTTCTTGCAAGAGTGAAGAACATGACGATAGAAGGCTACAGAACTAGCAACTGGAATAGCTCGGCCATAGCGACAAGAGGCGTTGAGGATATAGATCCTATTGATGGTATCGGCATGGAGGATCCTGGGAAAGAATTAAACAGCAAAGATATAATACTTCAGTATTCTGTCAACTATGGAAAAGTGGTAAGCTTTTTTTAATGCTATCACTTTTTATTTATCAAGATAAATTAATTGATTTCCTTATTATAGGTGCTGTATCGAAGTGTTAAAGATGGGAATCAATATGCATGAAAAAGTGATAATTTTGGTCTTTGCAATGCAGAGCAGAAGTATCTTCATTGTTTAGGAGGAAGTAACAGCTGCTCTTATCCCTCCTTAATCAAAGAGAAGCAATGCAAGTATTGGATAGCCACTCTTTCTCTTTCGGCAACAAAACGAATCAAAGAACAAATCTTTTATGAGTCAGGGCTCGATTCGTTATTAGTGGAAGACTCAAATATTATGAGTAGGTTGTAAAGAATCAAAGAAATTTTGGGTGAAGATTTGTATTTGGAAAACTTTAGGAGCCTTTGTAGCAATGTGGATACTTTTGTTGAGAGACATGTGCTCATTTCTTGTTTGCATGGTACTGTCTAGATTGACAAGTTGAGAGAAAATGTATTTGCTCAGGTATGCCTGAGTATAAGCTATGTATTTCTCGATTGTTTTAATGAAAATGTTTGTTCACTGACCCAAATAAAATGTTGCTCATTGTATTTTATACTGGTGCAAGGCAATCAAATCTTATAACTTGTGATATTATTCTATCACTCATTGTATTTTATACTGGTGCAAGGCAATCAAATCTTATAACTTGTGATATTATTCTATCATTGTTCCAACACATGCAGCTAAGGGCAATCAAATCTTATAACTTGTGATATTATTCTATCATTGTTCCAACACATGCAGCTAAGCTTCCCACACATGCAGCTAAGCTTCCCACACATGCCTGAGTATTAACTTATTGTCATTGTGCCAAAAGTATTCAGAAGGTACATAAGCTTCCCACACATGCTAAGCTTACAAAGAAATTAAGGATAGAAAAATAGATCTGCCTTTGGATTCTTTTTTTTTCATCTCAATCTTTTTTTTTTACCAAAATAGATATCATTAAAGGAAAGAAGTTACATGGTTTCACCTCTCATTGTGAGAGCGATCAGATCTAGAGTGAGGCATCCTTTACTCTTACAAAAGGATCTAAGGTACAAAGTTCTATAACAAAAGACTTGTGGCTTTAAAACATGGAGCTCCTGAACAAAATTCAACAAACAAAACCCGCTGAATACCCACATGTCTTCTATTCCAGGCTTCAAAAGGCCGCTGCTACAGAGTGAGGTATAGAGCTCGTGAATACCCGCCACCACAAACATCATCCTGGAAACAGAGCTCAGCCCGAACATCCCAACAGCCACAACCAGCTTCATCATATCCAGAAACATAGCCATGTCCAGCAAGACCATAACAAATATGCTCCAAAATTTTAACTGAAGACATGCTCCAAAATGCTCTGACAGAGATGGGTTAGGACTTGTTGTGATCAAACAAATGGGGATGTTGCTTTACAGAGATGGGGTCTAAGCAAATCCACACAGCCAATTGGCTACATCATGCTCATCTGTTTGTTGGCTCGAGCCATTCGCTGGCCAAAATTGAAAACCATTAGCTTTTCATTATAATAACTTTCATATACCATTTGTCTAAAATATGCACATAAAAAATCAGCAGCTTCTTACCTCGTTGCCAAGGCTGTAGAATGAAAAGTTAACAAGATTTACAACAAACAGTGTTGCTAAAAGACCAAATTTTAGCAGCTAAGAAAGTGTGTTATCTTACCTGCAGGTGACTAGCAACATTTTCTCTTGTTAACCCGGGGATATTCATCAAGTCAAGAATCTTCTTTGGACCAACTTCTGCGAATAGGAGTAATCATAAATCAACCATCAATAAAAAATAAAATATGTCATCAGTCAAAGAAAGAGAGATTGTCATACTCAGTCTTGACAGCGGGAGGCGGGCGGTCGTCGGCGTCGGTCTCGACAGCGGGAGGCGGGAGGTCGTCGGCGTCTGATCGACAGCGGGAGGCGGGAGGAGGAGGGAGCTGTCGTCGGCGTCGGTCTCTACAGCGAGGGAGAGGGGCTGTCGTTCGGCGTCGGTGCTCGACGGCGGGCGGGGAGGAGGAGGGGGCAATGTGAGGAGGGGATCTGGAGGAGTTTGGTCTGGTGGATTGGGGGGAAGAGAGAGAGAGAGAGAGAGAGAGAGAGCAGCAGAGAGAGAGAGAGAGAATCACGAGTGGGGGGGGGGCTGTCGCACGGAAGAGGAGGCCGGGCCCCCGTCCGTCCCCGAGAGACGGGGGGAGGAGGAGGATGGTTTGGCGGTGTGTCCTGGAGCCCCTCTTCGATGCCGATTGCCATGGCATCTTAAATGCTTGTTCGAAATCATCATTGATCTAGCCACAATAGTCTTTATGACTCATTAGACCTCATTAGCACTATGCGCCTCCTATCACCCTCACATTAAAATGCCTGGGTGACTTACCCCTTCAGCGGCAGACACCTGTAAAGTAGATGATGACTAGGCCGTCAGCTCGACTCCGCCAAAGTTACTTGTCTGCCCTTCCGACCTACTATAAAAGGCAACTGTCTAGGGTAACGCAGGGGGCTCCTAAGCAATCTGAACAACTTTCTTTACTTATCTTTACTTCTCTATTCAAGCTTAAATACTGACTTGATTGTCGGAGGAACCACCAGAGATCCCACCTTTGACCTCTTACGAGTTCTTCATGTGTAGGACAGAACATCTGGCACAGAAACCAGCCATCGGAGGAAGCTTGAGGACCATAAAACCTCCATAATCTACAGATAAATCCCCTGTTCGATAACTGACATCAACAATTCTATATTGAAAGATTTGGATTGGTTGGATATAATCCTAAGCATATATTTTGCATATTGATTGGATTTGTAATATCACCATGCATCGACCTGGATTTTTTATTTCATGGTGTTTGATTTGCAACATTTTAATTAAGAAACTAAAAATGTACTTACCTAAAAAATGTAGAAAATATGCTACAAATGTTGGCAACTAATTTGATGGGAGAGAAAACTACAATCTCTAGAGAAAAAAAAAAAAATAAAATAAAATTACACCTCATCAAAAATCTTTCTAAATCTTAAAAGAAAAATCATCCGCATTCATATTTCTCAATAATATGATAAAAGGACAAATTTTCAAAACCAACCTATTTGGATTTTTATTCCCAAAAAACGACCCCATTCAGTTTTATTTGCAAAAACCGATCTGGTTTTAGCCTCAGCGCTGAAACCAGGTCGGTTTTTGAAAAAAACTCTCCGAAACTTCACGGGAGTTGAACTCCCGTGAAGTTTTTTGAACTATGAAACTTCACGGGAGTTCAACTCCCGTGAAGTTTCGGAGAGTTTTTTTCAAAAACCGACCTGGTTTCAGCGCTGAGGCTGAAACCAGGTCGGTTTTTGCAATTATTTTTGAATGGGGTCGTTTTTGGGGAATAAAAGTCCAAATAGGTTGGTTTTGAAAATTTGTCCTATGATAAAAACGCATAGCTTTTTTTAATTACATAAATCGTTTTTCAACTTAACATCGAACTTGTATTAGGCATACATCTTCTACAATGAAACTGAACGCAACCAAACAGTACATGCCGCATGCGGGTATTTGCTATAGTAGCATTTGTTGCAATTTATTTTTGCAAGAAACTAAACAACCAAATGTGGAAAGAGAGAGATGAGATAGTTTTAGTATAGAGCTTAGTTAATTGATTTTTGACTTTCTCATATAAAGTCAAAAAAAACTTGAAATTTTGTTAGCCTGCGATTTTCCTTCAAAGTTGTACGGTGACTGTACATCTGACTAAACGAAAAGTTAGGGCAGTAACAATCTTGGCTCAGTTTTATCTAAATCATTTCAGAATTAAATAGAAAAAAAATTTAAAAAGTCAAACAAAAATCTAGTTTTATACCACGTCAGTTTTTGCCAAACAATGAGATAACTCCAAACTAAGGGGATGTTTGGATGCCTTTAGGAAACTAGAGTATTTATGACACAAAATAGAAAGTGGTTATCCACCTCACCATTTTCCATTCGAGTGTTTACATTGTTTGGTTAGGAATCTTTGTGAATCCTAACATTAGGACCCACTTTTTTATACTTTCCATTATTTTACATGGTAAAAACATACAACCAAACAGCCTCTAAATAAATCAGTTTTGAACCTCGCCCAGCTCGAAAGCGTGGGCGAATGCACCCCATAATCTCCTAACACTAGGACCCACTTTTTTATTCTTTCATCTTATATTTTCTTCAAAAATGCTTTTTGACTCGCGAGTTGGGCAACTCGCGCCCAACTCGCAGTCAATGAGTAGGGGGTGGGCCCCACAGTTTTGTGGGGCCCACCCCCTACTCAGTGACCCCAACCGCGAGTCAAATAGCATAGCCCTAATTTCTTTGCTCTTCAAATTTCAATGTTAAGAGAGTCACTCAATTGTGATTCATTGGTCCATACTTCTGTATCAGGTCCGCAAAGATTTTCCCATTATTGGGGTCAATTCACTAGATCCACTAGATCAGATCAAGTCGTCACCGCTACAAAAAAAAAAAAAAAAACAAAAACAATATACACGCATACTGCCCAAACAGTAATACACCGTATAAAACAGCACCGTACTCCTCTTGTCTCCTTGCTAGCTACGTTTGCGTTCGGTCTCCCAAACGGTCCGAATCCAACACAGTAGTTAAAAGGCTGCATTCTCCTGGCTGCTGACGTGGCCGCAGGCACCTTCGCCGACGAATCGGGTCCCGCGACAAAAAATCTAAACGCTCCTAATCTCACCCAACTTCACCAGCCTGCACCCCTCGCGGGCCCCACGAACCCCACGGCTGCTGCCCTTCAGTGGGGCCCGCCGGTCAAGCTGGTAAGAGCAAGGTCGGCGCGGAGGCCAACGGGATAAGTCCACGTGTGAGATCTGATGCTGAGTCGGCATTGGTGAGTGTAGGCCGTTGGATTACTCGGACGGTTGGATTCGGTTGTTGAAACAGATGAAAGAATCCTGGCCATTGGTTGTGGCTTAAGAACTGGACTCCGGGGAGGGAGAAGATAAAGAAGAGGAAAAGAACTCTCTCTCTCTCTCTCCCCCTCTGTAGTTTTGATCCCCTTTCTTTGATTGGAGATCCATCTCGGATCTTGAAATTTTGGAGAATTCTAAGGAGTTCGCTGAGAATTGGCGATCTGAGACCTGATTTGATTGATTCCGGCATTGATTTCGGTCGAGAATCAAGAAACGTAGGTTGCTTCAAATGAGCGGATTTGCTGTTGAGTGATAAGCTCTTTTTAATGGAGTTTTCATGGATTTTGATCGAATCTGGAAGAAATTTGAGCTAATTTTCAGTTTTCGATGAAGAAATTCTGAGTTTTTTAGTTGATTGTGGCTTTGTATTTGACTGATGAGGTTTTTTTTTCTGGTTTTTATGGATTTTGATCGAATATGAAGGAATTTGTGCTGATTTTCAGTTTTCTTGAAGAATTTGAGTTTTTTAGTCTATTTTGGCGTTGATTGTCGATCGAGAATCAAGAATCAAGAATCGTTGGTTACTCTGATGAGTTTTTTGGATTTGCTGTTTAGTGATCTGCTCTTTATAATGTAATTTTCATGGAATTTGATCGAATTCGGAAGAAATTTGAGCTGATTTTCAGTTTTCGATGAAGAAATTTTGAGTTTTTTTAGTTGATTGTGACCTTGATTTCGATCAGGACGTATAGACTTCTTTTACTGGCTAGATCTTCTATTGAAGTTTTCGAAATCCGGAAAGAGTTTTTAAGATTTTTTTTGAATAAGCTGCTCTTTTTAATGGATTTTTCATTGATTTTGATTGCGTAAGAAGAAATTTGAGTTGCTTTTCAGGTTTCCTTGAAGAACTTGAGTTTTTTTAGTTGATTTCGGCATTGATTTCAATCGAGAATTTTCAGTTTTTGTCAAAAGGTTTGGAGATTCTCTTCATTTGGATTATTCAACGAGAATTCAGTTTTGTTGATTTTGACGTTTGTTTCAACTAGATAATTACTTCAAAGGAATTTGTATAAAAAAATGTAATAATAACTTCAAAGGACTCTATGATTTCTTTTAGATTTTTTTGATGACTTTTCTGGTTTTGTCTGCTGAGATGTTCTTTTAGATTTTTTTTTTGAATTTTTTGATGGATTTTGATCTGAGTTGGAGAAATATTCTCGATCAAGAGATGACCTTTGCGGCTGAGAGATCTTCTAGTGAGATTTTTGTGGATCTTTGTACTTGAATTTTGCTTGAGTTGGAGAAATTTGAGCTGATTTTATTTAGTTATTCTCTGTGAATTTGATTATGGTCTGATTTTTAACTTTGATTTTGATCGAGTTGGACATATTAATTGACCTTTTTTTTCCCCTTCAGTTTTCCTCTTGAGTTTTCTAATTTTTCTGTTTGATTGTTTGCTAATGATATTCTTTTTCTTTTTGGATTTTTTACTTTGATTTTAATTGATTAGGAACAAATTTAAGTTACCTTTTAGTTGTCCTCGAAGTATTTTTGGATTTTTTAGTTGATTGTGGCCTCAATTTCGATCGAAACTCGTTTTACTGGTGAAATCTGCTGATTTTTTTAATTCTAGACGAATGGGTTTTTTGTCTGTGATTTTGATTAGAAAGAATTTTAGTTTTCTGTTTCTTAATTTTCGATTGAAACGTTTGAAATTTGCTTCGTTTGGATGATTTTGTCTTTCATTTAAAATTACTAAAAATGAATCGTGATTCCAGATAATATTATATATCTTTGCTTTAAATCAAAAATCTAGGCATTGATTACTCGACTTTACTTTAGTTTCATCAGAAAAAGTTTTGTTTTAACAGTTTCTGGCAGGTTTCTGCTAGAATTCTGATTTGTTTTCCTTCAAATTTTGTATCTCGAAGTTTATTTTTCACTTCGTTTTCATTAAAATAGGAAGAAGCTCGTTAAATTCCTTTCAATTTTCATTAAAACAATTAGTTTTAGGATTTTGAGAGAGTTCTCTTCATATCTTTTTTGACTTTTTTTTATTGAGAGAAAGAATATATAATTTTTTTTTCAGTTTTCCCCCCAAATTCATTCCTCAGCTCTGTTTACTCATGAGAGAGGCTAAAAAATTCATGGTCAGAGATGTAGTTCATTTTTTTAGCTTTGATTTGCTAGAGAATTTATGTTCGTTTTCTTCGTTTCTGTTAACTTGTTCTTGGCTTCTGTTTCAATCAGCCAACTTATGAAGCAAGTTCATGTCAACGTCTTTGCTGATTAGAATTCTAAGAAACATGTTATGGATTTTTTTTGTTGAATTATTTACAATTTTTTTTTTTAGTGGCCAGCAGCCAGATTATATTCTCTTGAATATTTTTTTGAGTTTTTAATTGATTTTTGTTGCAGTTATCAAGTGTCACTGCTATCTTGAAGAATTTTTGGTGAATTCCTCAAAGAATTTTTGAGTGGATATGGATCGAACTAGAGAGAGAAAGATGTCATTCTCTTCATCTCGCCGCAGGTCTCGAGGGATGGTGCCTAAAGAATCTTCAGGTAGTGAACTAGACCCAAAGATTTCCCCCTTTTTTTCTCTCTCAAAAAGATCTTTCCTCTAAAGTGATTCTTTAGTTTATCTTATCCTTTCCACAATGGACTGATCCTGTAGGCATCTGGAAAGTTGAGAACGAAGGGATCGATACCATCAGAGAAAGATACAGAATTAAGGACCACAGATTGAATGGCAGGACGAGACATAGCAGACTGGTTTCTAACGAGAGCTCGGATGAGAGCTTTGATGAAGAGATGGCAGGAGGACAAAATGGTCAAGCCGTAATAAAGGATACCAAGTTGAAGGTGAACCTCAATAGTTAAGTATGATTGATCAACATTGTTGTCTGATCTCAGAATTTTGTTAATCTTTTTCAGGGCTACGATGAGATCATTGTTGGGGTTCCGGTCCCTCGAAGAGCTCGAGGTGGCATATTCTTATTCTTGATTTCCTATTTATTCTTCGAAGCCTTTTTTCTTTTTTGTAACTTTTGTTAGTTATTTTAGGCTTAAAGAGAAGATTGCAGAATTCGGTTGTTAATGCTCAATCATCTAATGTGTCAAAGGAAACTGGAGACGAAGCGGTCAGTGAGGACATTTTATTTTATTGTTAGAACTTAATTTGCATGATGGATTTATGGACATGGATTTTTGTTCAGATAACTGAGCTCCTGTTCCTTTTTAGCTGCTGCTTGTGAAGGATATGTTTTTCATCGGTCTTCCGGTTTTATTTTATTTTCTTAAGAAAACTTATTTTAGGTGGGACAGTTCATCGAGCTTGAAAAGTAGGTTTTATTGAAAGCTACAGCTGAAGTCACCTTTTTTTCTTTCTTACGGGCAAAGCCTTGGCCTAATTTTTATTAAAAGAGGGGTCTTCTTCAGTCTTTCAAACTGAGTTTTGCGAAAAGCTATATCTGAACTCCTTCGGAATATTTAGCAACTCCCCCAGCTAACCAGGTTATCTTTAAGGACTCTAATTTTATTTGGCTAAAATTGGGTCAGCCCCAAACTTGATTTTCTGAGTTCAAAGTTTGGCATGTAACCAGGTTAGGATTGATCCACCCCCACTCTTCAGTTCATAAAAATTGGGTTTTACACACTTTTTGTCCAGAAAATACAAGGAAAACTGGAACCAAATATGTTTTCTGTTGATGATGATTTGGTGGGAAACATGGATGTGTGCAAATTATAATTGAGTCTAGCAGCTTTTTATTTGCGCTTTTGGCTAGTCTAGCTTTGCATATGGTTCTTGAATTTTCTGAAAATTCTTACTACTGTTGATACATGAGCTATCTCCATCAATCTTCACTAGCGTTCCTTGTTCTGTCCATTGGTTAAAGATTTACTTTCCGCCAAAAGAAGCTGGTTCATTGCCTGGTTAACTTTTAGAAACCTGCCGTCTGGGATACCCCGACACGGCACTTAGGGTGCCGTACCCATGTCCGATCCGTACCGGGTACGGGTCCATACCGGGTATGGGTCCGTACCCAAACGGCAGGGATACGGGCAGGTTCGTGGCTTATTCTTAAGCTGGCGAGGGACCTTGTTCTATGCGTTTTGAGACTTTTTTTAAATCTTGTTATTGAGATCCATGGGTTCTGATCCATGGGTTCTGAGACTTGAGGACATAGACCAAGATGATAACAATTTCGCTCTCCCCTCTCTCTCTCTCTATAGATTTTTCTTAATGTTTTATCCACTTAGTGGGGGACCTCACCTCTCACATGACCTTGTTGGACCATGAGAATGGATGGTATTTGTTTTTTCCTGGCAAGGATGGCTACAGACTGAGCACATAAGTCGCATGAGTCCTTAACTTCTATATGGGAAGAAGTTTGCGTTGAGCTTCTTTTTATTTTATTTTTGAAATAGTTTCAGCTTAGCATCTCTTTTTTGTATTTCCTTTTTTGAAGATAGAAAGGCAAAGTTCCAAAGCCTTTGCTTTCTTGAAAATTTGAGAATGGACTTGAATCAAATAAAAAGAATTTAAAATAAAAAGGAGAAACTTGAGATCCTTAAGATAATTGTTGGTTTTTAAATTATTAATTTTAACATATATATATATATATATATATATATATATATATATATAAACTAGACACACACACATATATATATGTCGTGTCCCCGTATCCTCACTTTTACAAATTTGCCGTGTCCCGTACCCATGTCCATACCCGTACCTATGCAACCTAGCCTGCCGCAATGTCATGCTTGCAGCGGTATCTGTTACCTTACGTCTCCTTTTTGTCTCTATTTTCTTTTCCTTTGTACCCTACAGCTACTGTGTTGATTCTGCATATATAGTATTATAATTATTTCATGCCCATAACCCTTCCTACCTCCTTGCAAGCTTATCTTCTAATAGCTATGTGCTTTCTTCCAGGTTCCGATATCAGAGACTGAAGTTGAAGTTGCTAAAGTTCTATTTGGATTGACGAAACTGCATTCACAAGATTCTGATGCTGTGGTTGATACCTTCCAGGGTTCTTCAGTACCTGATACATCGGCCTTACCTAAAGGTTTGTCTGAGGCATCATGTCTTTTGTTGTTTATCTGCTTCTTCACAAGAGTAAGGTCAATTAGTTTGGTATCAATGGATTATCTGAATGATCATTTACAATCAGTTGTGCAACATTATAAAGGCTCTTTTTTTGCATTAGTTTCTGTATAGCTTCTTGAATTAAAAAATAATAATAATGTCTTCTCTTTAATTTGTCCTCCCTTTTTTCTTTGTTTCTTGAGGGTCACATCATAAGTTTGGTGTTATGTCGTTAGAATTCTGTCTAAGATTAGGGTGAAGATGTGACATGTCCTCTAGCTGCCTCCAAAGAAAATAAGCGATAAATGGAAAAAGGAAATGTTCTGCACGATATCAGAATGATCTAACTAGTACTCATTAGACTTTTGGTTTGAAGTCAGGGAAATAAAGAAATAAAAGAGAAATCTGGACAATATTTTCGACGGACTGTTTTGTATTAGATAACCTGATTACGTTGTATTTTACTTGATTTAATGTTAATCTTTTATTCATATAGAAAGTTGCACCTGAAATTGAAGAAGTTGAAGGTAGAAATAAGATATATGATTGAGCAAGGCTTTTCTGTAGCTTTGTGACACTTGTTGGATTTTCTTGAGGCTGTGTTGATCTCTTGCAGGTTCTAAAGGGAAGAAGTTCAAACCTTTACAATCTGATGATGATGAAAAACCTTCCATGATAATTACTAGCAATTCAAAGTCAGATGTGACAATCGATCAATTGAATGCTGGTAGCTCGGTACCTTTTCCATCCATGAATGGAAAGCTAGCAGGCATTAGTTCAACAATAGAAAAAGTGACAACTTCATCAACTAAGCTTGACAAAAGTTCTTCAAACAATAGTGGTCAATCAACGGTAGAAACACCATTGCTGGGTCCTCAGAATGTAGTCTCCCCAACTGTCCTTGCAGAAGAAAAACCAAGTCCTGCCAGTTCTATTATGTCCCAGCCCTTCATGTCAGCAATTCATCCTGGGCAAGCTAAACCCCTTCTTTTAAATAAAGGAGATGAAGATTCAAATGCTAACTGTAAGACAGAGCATGAACAATCTGAACAACTGACAGGGAAAGGATTAGATCGACGGAAACAAGATTTACCACCCCAATCATGTCAAAATAAGAATCTCGATCGTCATAAGGGGTTAGTGCATTTCTCCAACAGAAAAAACAACAACAAAAAGTTCTCTCAAATTTTGCATAATATATTGCCATGATCCTAAATGCTTCTGTTTTGTTTGTAGTGCTTCTCCAGTTTCTTCTGTTAAAGATTGTGTGAAGAAGATGAAATATGAGATCGATCTTATGGTAAGTAATTTATCCTTTAAGGATTGGATTCAAGCTACTTTGTACCAATGACATGGTGCATGTGCTGTTCTTTTAGGCTCTTCCACATGGTGATGAAGTTGATGCAATAAATGAATGCGATCCTCAAGTGTCATATATCAATCAGGTAATGCTCTCTTTGGTAATAATTTTCTATATGTGTTTGTCCCTGTGTTTCTACATATACCTGTGTTGTTTTATCTCTTTGCCACTAGAAGGCCAGTTAATGTTCTGTTTGTCACTCTTTATCAGTTTGAGTTCTCTAAGTAGGACTACTTCAAACATGTTAAAATATACTCCAGAAGGAAGAATAAGACTTTTAAAGTTCCACACAAATACCTGTAGGGGGGGTTAGTCACCTAGAACTTAAAATTAGAACTGGGATAATCTGTGGGATAAAATTTTAAGGTGTTAGTCACATAGAACTAAACCTAGAACAAAATTTTAAGGTGTTAGTCACATAGAACTAAAACCAGAATAAAATTTTACAGTGTTAGTCAAGCAGAACTTTAACAAAACTAGAATTGGGATAATTGTACAAAATTATCCCATTTTTTTATTTTTCTATACAAAAATGAGAGTTCTAGTCTCTCAAATTATTCCAAGTTTTAGCTTGGAACTATGTGGTAAAAAACTAGAACTCGTATTTATTTTGTTATTTTTTATTTTTTTTCTTTACTTATTTCCTATTATGGTTATCACAATCATTAGACCATCATCATAATAATAATTGCCAATATCTTATAGTCTAACCAAAAGTTATTTAATAGTAACGAACATTCTTGTAAGCAATTATCAATTAATAATAGTAAGTTTAAAATACATAAATAGTATTTATATCTTCAAAATGCATAAATATATACTTCATGATTATAAAAATTTATCCCACGTTATTTTATCAAAATATCCTGCTTCACAAAATTGTTCCTAGTTATCCCACTAAAATATCCCACTAGTGAAATATTATTCCACTTTAACAATTATCCCATTTTACATGAAAATGTCTCAATTGACTAACACCCCCGTATGAATTTTCTTATATGACCAAAACTGGGAAATTGTATTATACAAGCCAAAGTTTTGTGTAAATATGAAGTTCTATAGGATGGTATGCTACTGCTGGGAACCACTAAAGCAAATTAACCTTAGTTCATGAAGTATGATTTTTATTTTCTGCAATTTATTTGACAGGGCACTAGCAATGATGAAAATATTTGTAAACGAGACGCTTCTAGGCTTTCTTGTGAGCTAGAGATAGAGGATTCAAAATCAAATCAGAACACAGGTGTGCTACATGAATTTCATAAGAAAGAAGTGACTAAGGAAGGCATGGAAAACCAACCCCTGATTGAAGGGAAAAGTGGATCATGTCAAGATCGCGACAATGCCGATAAAATGGTTGCAAAGAAACACTCTCAAAAAATAGTGAAAGATATTTCACTTCCATCAGGAAGAGCTGGTAAGAAGAGGCGATTGATATTTAGAATCATCTATTTTCATGAGTTCAAACTGGAGCTTTTGACATTCAACCAATTTTTCAGGTTTAATAAACAACAACATCGCTGCAAAATCTACCCTATTCTCAATACCACTTCCATGTTCGCTTGATGCTATTCGACCATATGGGTATGAACAAAATTTGTATTTAATTTGAAAACAAACTCCTTGAGAAAATGTTTGAAACTGCCCTGAATTTATTTTACTGACAATTCATTATTTTAAGAAAGATGGATGGATTTCGAGTTTGGCGGTTATTGCAGCTTGGCCTGACAGACATTTAAGCCTATTCAGTCAGGTGATGGTTCGTCATTGTCAATATAACTATAAATTCAGGGTGGTTTCACTCATTTTTCTCTTAAATAAAGGGGTTTAAGTCAGTTGTTTTGGTATCAAGTTTCCGAGTAGTCATATGTCGGTATTGTTTAATTGATTAAAGAGCACTGCATTCAGGTCTCCAAGTACTGGTTCAGCCAGTCTATGTGTAGTTCCAGCTTTCAAGACGGTAACCTTGTGGAAGGGAATACCTTAATGCACATGTAAACTTTAAACATGCTCCTCTGTTTAGGCTTTAGGTGCTAATATATATATATATATATATATATAGTATAATATATATATATATATATATGAGATTAATGGGTATCCTTGTCATAGGAGAGATTTCCTCCTATGTCGCTCTAAAATCACAATGATTGAGCGACATTATGATGATGATGCCGCTCCGTTGAACTTGATCTAACATATTCTAAAACCCCAAACACATCAAGTTGGGGTAAACCCGTCGTCGTTTGACCATTCATCCACTCGTATCATTTTAACGTTTTGAATGAATAGAACTTTTCACATGGCTCGATGGAGGTCAAATGACGACGGATTCACCCCAAACTTGATGTGTTGGGGTTTTAGAATATGTAGATCAAGTTCACGGAGCGGATCATCCATAATGTCGCTCACATGTAATTTTAGAGGCGTCATAGAGGAATCCCTCCTATGACAAGGATACCATTAATCTCTCCTCTCTCTCTCTCTCTCTATATATATATATATATATATATATATATATATATATATTATATATATAGAATATGGGTATGCTTGGTACTAAGCCAACAATATTTTGTGCTTGTAGTCGTAGAGGTGGCATAATCCCCTCCACCCATTTAATGGGGGACACATGGTTGAGAAGTGCATGGGGATATGCAACCATTTAAATGAGGAGGGGATTATGCCACATCACTACCAAGCATACCCCCATTTTTCTCATATATATATAATATATATATATATATATAAATATATATAATTATATATATATAATATATATATATAATAATTTTTTAAGCCCTTCTATGGTTTCTTCAAACTCAAAGTTGATGTTATTAACACATTAAGCATATCATATATCAGAAACTCACAAATCTTTTGATTCTTTTGATTAGTTACATTTACTCTAGTTGCAGTAAAAAAAACAAACAGAAAGAAATAGGAATACAAATTATGATTATGACACGAAGGGATTGTTTCAGGTTAAACGTTTTACATTCACCTGCATTTTGTTTGACTGGCATTACAGAAATACTTTATTTTTAAATATTCTTTAAGACATTGCGTTCCCATAGACAATAGATCTGAATATTATGTATCAGAGGTGTTAGCGCCATTGGCTTGATTATGTACTTCTTGTTTGCTCAAAAACTTGGAGCTAGTTACACCAGACTCACCAGTAACCCATTAATACTTGCTTATTCTGTACATTTGAAAACTTTCATTGGCCCCTATACCCATGTGGATTAAGGGTTAGAGATGTATTCACTTTTAAGATAATAGCATGCTTCCCAATTATTTATATTTATGAATAGCAGAAAAAAATATACATATAGTTCTCCTATTTTCATACATAAGCAGTGAATCTCAATATAATGAACAGCTACGGAGTAGCACAACTATTTTTAGTGAACACTTCCATTGTCGGCAAACCACTGGGAAAATCACATCTCAGGCAAAATGCAAAAATAATGCGTTAGGCTAACTGTACATATTTCCCAAAAGTTTCTTTACCTTTCTCAGTCAATGAACTGTGAAACATATGATTTAGTGGGTTACTTAGATCTTAAAATCCATTTAGACTGATAATAGGAAGTGCGCATTGAACAATAATGTACTATGGACACTTGACCTTCTGGGATATTTTATTAACACATTGCTAGAACATGTCTGCATCTCTGCAATAATAATTAAAGTCATGCTCTTGAAAACTTTTCAGACCCAGCTTTGAAACTTGTTTTATGTATTGCTCATAAATTTCATTAGTCATTACTCTACTTTAGCTAGTCTTCTCTGTGTTTTACAGGCACCTCTTGTCATGCTACCACCAACACGACCAAATCACTGTGCCACGCATTGCTACATTGCTCGTCTAATACATTTCCAGCAACAACTAGTGAAGCTCAACCCTTTTTGTCAGACAGCTGGCTCTTTGGGCAAACCATATAACTTGTCTGCAGTGCCACAACCAGGTGCATTACTTCTAGGAGGTCCTGTCATTAGAAATCCAAATGCTGTGATCAATGGCAGTTCCCGATCTAGTTCTACATCGCCTCTAAACTCTCAGTACCCTGTACCTAACTATTCAGATTCTTCAAAAGACGCTGAGAAAGGAAGGCATTTACTTCAACAATCACATCAGGTGAATAACTCTTGAAGTTTTAGATGTTAGTTAAGCGATTAAATACTTTAAGCGGTATTACCCCCTGTAGTTCAATTGTTGCAGATAGACCACCTGTACTATCATCCAAGTCCGAATATACTCTGTGTGAATTTTTTGACTCTTTTATCCTCAAGGGGTTTATTTATCAAAAAACAAATTCTCTTTCTATGAGGGTAGAGAAGTTATTTAAAAAAACCAGTCACTCAGTTGGGGGTCTATCTGCAACAATAGAACGATAAGGGGGGTTTATCCACAATTGGGCTACAGTACAGAGGGTCCAGCTGCAGTTGATCCATGATTTAAAAGTAAAATGTAATAATATATTAGGTGATTTCTTCCTTATCAATGATTCTAGTTTCATTAGTTTCTCTGGAGATGGTGATTCACACATTATATTGTTTTCTCGAGTTTAATCATGTGTCACTTCCATCCATTTTATTTGTCAATTGCCACTGTCATTTAGAAACATTCTAATTTGGAGGCAAAGAATCCTTAACTAAATGAATAATGTGGATGGCTCCCTTTTTTTTAAGGGGAGAAAATTCCTCTGCCTTTACAAAGAAGTACCTTAAATTCCTCTGCCATTACAAAGAAGTACCTTAGCAGCAAAATAATATGCTCCTTGTCCCATTTGATATAATCTGATATCTGATTTATTTCTTGTACTGATTGTTTCTTTGCTATATATGTTATGTCAGGGTGGATTCTTCCTATTCCCCATTAACCAAATCCAAAGCCAAGCAGCAGGGCAAAAAGCTAGTGATCTATCACAAGCTGAAAAATCATTGTCCAAATCCAATGCGTCATCAGCTTTGGCATTAACCAGTACTAGTTGCAGTAATTTAACAGCTATTCCCGATAATCAAAATCTAACCATGTTCAAGGGGAACAATCCTTTCCTAAATACCCCGGCCTATCAAGCATACATAGCTCAGCAGCAGCGACCGCCACTTCCACTCTTTCACGGTTCATCTAATTCTTCTCAGCTGTACTCTGGGGCTCTCCAGCTGACCCCAATTCCTACTGCTTCATGTGGATCTTCCTTTGAGAATTGCCTCCAAGAAAAACAAATCCTCCATTCTCCAAAGACTTTATTAGAGGCTCATGATAACAAGCCCGAGCATTCCAGGAACTGCGGGATCTCCCGATCTCAGAGAACTCTCCAGAACTATAGCTTGCCAGCAGGGAAGCACCGACAACCACTTAGTCCCTTAACAAATCAGGCAAAAGAACTATCAAAGGCTAATTCTAGCAGCAGCGGAGGTCCATCTGAGTTGAACCATTTCAGAAAACAAGTCGTGGTTCAAACAAACTCTCCTATCTCAACCCTGTCTACATCTGTATCGGTTGCTTCGTCAGTAGCCTACTCTGATCAAAATAAACCCCGAGAGAGGTTATGTTCTTTGCAATGTATGCCAAAACCAGATATTTGTTTAGAGAATACTTCCAGTAGGAAAGTTACGCCCGTGCATTCTTTGATAGATGCAGCCAAAGCCCATCAGAATAGTTCAGTACATTTGACATTTCCCGGGAGCCTTAATACGAGGAAGCCTACTGTTAGTGAGCAAGCTCTTCTCTCTTCATCAATTGGGTTGACAACAGTGGCAACAGTTTCATCAGTACAAGGTGCTGCTAGCCTGCCCGTAAAATCAGCTGAACAGAAGCCAGCAGCAGGTATGTTTTATCCATTACAACTTCTATTGGTTTCCATGAACTATCGTAGATATCACACTGAAATAAGTGGTACTTATATGGAATGGTAGGCATGAGGGTTAATTGCACATGGACCCCTTATGGTATCTCGCTGTTTTGGACTTACTATCCCCTATAGTTTCGTTGTTGCATTGACCCCGGGGTTAAATTAGACTTTTCCCCCTAGGTTAAAATTTGACAGACATTGCCCCCTGGGTGAGATAAGCATGTGTAAGGGTAAAAGAGTTGAAATTTTTTAACCTAGTGGTTCTATCTGTAACCATGGAACTACAAGGGTTGTAAGTTCAAAACAGTGATGTTACAGGGGGTTATGTACGTTCAGGCTAGTTATATCAGAGGGATTGGACTTCGCCATTGTTGTATCTTGGTTGCTAAATGGCCTATCAGCTATCCAATACCTTCTACTTATATCAGAGGGTATTTACTTCGCACATTCTTGATTTCAGCTTGAAGGAAGGAAAATGCCATTTGCGAGGAACAGCGCGTGATGCCATGCCTAAGGACTGCAATCGAGAGAACGATGGGGCTCCCTCTCCCAATCGAGCTGCTCGGTGCCATTCTCTGGTCTTTCACGTGATGGTCCATAAACTTAATCCTCTTATTGGCAGTGTTTTATGATTAAAAAAAAAATGATCTCCTGTATTCTTATGGAGACCGTCTCTGTACAGTTTTTGTGAAGAACAATCTGTTAGGTGGTAGACAACTACTAACCTGTAAAAAGACAGAAAATAATGCTGACTTTCCTCGTTTTGATTGGATAAAAATTGTCTTCAGAAATGACTTGGTTGTTTTTAGCAAAAATATCTTGAGTCCCGCTGCTTATCTGCATGTCATGAGAGCTTGCTAGCAAAGTTTGCTTGAAAAAGAGATGCTGAATGATGTTACATACCATGTGCATGTCGGTCACAAAATTTCCATGACCAAATTGTTTGTCCAAATTTAGCTCTTCGTCTTGTTGGGATTCTTCTTCTGCTTCTTCTGCTCTTCTTGGATCATGACTCATCTTTGGGTTTTCGTGGAATTGTACTCTACAGGGGGATTATATTTATCTAAAGCGTGTTTTTATTACGGACCGAGTATAATATTGAGCTTAGGCGCTATTTTCGAGGTCATTTTTCATCAAATTTTTTTTTTACATAACGTTTTAATTTACGAAAGCCGAGCATTAGTCCAGTTTTCATCTTACGTTGTTGTTCTGGCGTCGGCAGAACTAGACAACCAACGAGATAAAAATTGGAAAAGGTTGGTAACAGGAAGAAGGAAAAAAGTTTTACCAATAATATCACCGGTTCTAGAAACGGCTTACCCTAATCTCAACCGCCCTCTTCCTCCTCTCGTCCCTAGATTTTCTACCCGCCAGAAGCTCCTCTCGCAATCCATGGCGAAATCCAAGCCCCCGTTCTCAATCCCAACCCCTTCATCTCCTCTCTCTTTTCTCTCTCATCATCTTTTCTCCCGTCTAGAGAGAGAACAGGGAGAGAGAGAGAGAGAGAGAGAGAGAGGGAAAAGGGAAAAGCTTTATACGTTTTAACATCCCATGGGCGGCTGCTGCTCTGTCCCCTCCCCGACCGGCACGAAAACTCCGGACGAAGACGGACGTGTCGGATGTGCAGCGGGAGGTGGAGATCATGAGGGCGCTGCCGGATCATCCGAACGTGGTGAGCTTGCGGGAAGCGTTTGAGGATAGGGAAGCCGTGCATTTGATCATGGAGCTTTGCGAGGGTGGGGAGTTGTTTGATCGGATTGTGGCGAGAGGGCATTACACGGAGAGGGCGGCCGCGGCGATCATGAAGACCATTGTGGAGGTCGTCCAGGTAATTGATGGGCGTACCGAGTTGAAGATCGAGAAAAATAACTTGCAACGAAAATACATTTGTTTTCAATAAAATATGCAAATCCAACTATTTTGGCAGATGGCCAAACTCTAGATTGGAATGAATACGTACAAACAGTGGATTTGAGGTTAATTTTCTGCAATATATTTTACATGCTCCATTTGCTGCATTTACAATTGCAACATACGTGACAATCCAAAAGTGTTATTATTTTAGAGAAGACTTCACAAAACTATCATCATTACTTGGACTATTATAATTTGGGGAAACTATCATATATAAACTTCCTAATTGTTAAAAAAATATCACAGACAATTAGAGCATTATATGGTAATTTTGTGATAAATACCCGAATGACAATAAAGTAAAATTGACGGAAGTTAATGAGAACACCTAACATTCACGATTGTTTTGTAAATCATAAATAAAATTTATGATATTTTTTTCAGGGATAGTTTTATGATAGTATATGATATTTTTATGTTGATTAGAGAAATTGATCCATCATCATTACTATACAGTCAACCAATCTACAGAAAGGTCAACCTCCAAATTTCATTGAAGTAGTTCGTCGTTTCATTAATCGTTCTAATTAATTTGTAAGATCTTCGAAATATCTAAAATGGTTCCTTTCTGATTTGCATTAATGTTTTCTGTAGCACTGCCATAGTCATGGGGTTATGCATCGGGATCTGAAGCCAGAGAATTTCTTGTTTGCAGATAGTTCAGAATCCTCTCCATTAAAAGCAATTGACTTTGGCCTCTCTGTGTTCTTTAAGCCTGGTATGCCTATCAATTTCTTGCATTGATATAGAAAAATATATTTATTTGGGCTTGAGCTAGGCTACTAATAGTATCTAATGTGTGGGTATTATCAAGTCAAATTTAAAATTCAGATAAAATTTGAAATCCGTACCATTGAATGTGATATGCTAAACTTCAACCGTTTAGAAATAAATTTTTAACCGATTTCACCTTGTTTTGTCCATGTCCCATATGTTGTCAAAATCAATGGTTCAGAAGCTTTATTTTTTACAAATTGACATTTTGATTAGAAACGAGTCGAATATTGTAATCTCTGTTTTGAAGTAATCCATGTGTATTACCACATGTTCAATGGTACGGATTTTCGATTTTGAAAATCCGAATTCTAGATTTGACTTGATATAACCACACTTTAAATACGATAGTAACGTAGCTCAACTCTTTATTTGGTTCCTGAACAAATATATTTCACTTCCTGGTTGTTTTTAGGCCAACGTTTCAATGAAATTGTTGGAAGCGCATATTACATGGCGCCTGAAGTTTTGAAACGGAATTATGGACCAGAAGTAGATATATGGAGTGCTGGGGTTATTCTCTACATCCTATTGTGTGGGGTCCCACCGTTCTGGGCAGGTACTTTTATTTATTGCTAAGGAGCTCTGATTTGGTTTAATTCCGGATAGAAGCCCTGTAGTTATATTGTTGCAGATAGACTCCCCGAGTGAATTTTTTTGTCAAATAGACCTCCTTAGGTTAAAAAAGTAAAAAACAAATTCACTCAGCGCAATAATAGAACCACAGGCGGTCTATTTGTCAGAGGGAGGGAGGGAGGGAGAGAGATTTTTGACGAATAGATTTCCTTAGGTAAAAAAAGTAAAAAAACAAATTCGCTATAGACCTCCTTAGGTAAAAAAAAAGTAAAAAAAAAACAAATTCGCTCAGGCAGTCTGTCTGCAATAATAGAACTACAGGGGGTCTATTTGTAACCCTTCTGATCTCAACTTGCATTCAAGCACAATGGTGGTATTTAGACTCAAGTCAGTTTCTAATGGGCCATGCTGCTGTATGCAGAAACTGATGAAGGAATTATGCAGAAAATTCTTCATTCAGATTTTGATTTGGAAAGGGAGCCTTGGTCGAAGATCTCCAATAATGCAAAAGATCTTGTGAGGTGTATGCTTGATCGAAATCCTGACACCCGGTTAACTGCTAACCAAGTTCTTGGTATGCATTGTCTCTTTTCAGTATATTCCTTTCCTGAAATTTGATTTCATACTAATCGACACTCAGGATAAATTTATGAAGGGAATAATGGTTATAAGGTGATGACTCATTTAGAAAAATGAGCTAGCAATATTCCTTGGTTGCTCATTTAGCAATAGAGTGGTGAGGTCCATGCGATTTGATGTGACTAGCAACGTGGGTCTCACTATAGAGTATCTCTTGGTTGCTCATTTAGCAAAATGAGCCGCCATACCAAACCCATTATTTCCTTTTATGAAACAATAATTAAAGATCCAAAATCTAATCCCTTTGCATCATCTAATTGTTCATACACTATTCAATTTTTGTAGAACATCCTTGGCTGCTGAATGCTAATGCGGCTCCCAATATTCCTCTCGGAGAAGCAGTTAAAACGAGGCTTAAGCAGTTCTCAGCCATGAACAGATTCAAGAAGAAAGCCTTAAGAGTAAGCTTCCTTTTGTTCGCATTTACATCTTTGGGAAGTATATACTTATGCTTCAATTATTTATATTTACGGCGAAAACTCTTATCTTCTGTTTTCTATAGATGGTAGCTGAGCACTTACCTGTAGAAGAAGTAGCTGGAATCAAGCAGTTGTTTCACATGCTGGACACTGACAAGAATGGCAACTTGTCACTTGAAGAACTTAAGACGGGCCTCCACATATTTGGACATCATGTTCCAGATCTTGATATTCATACGCTTATGGAAGCGGTTAGTCATCTTCTTCTTCTTGCCTTCCATTTGTGAGCTTAATTGCGGACAGACACCCTGTACTAACGTTGTTTTGAACTTAAAACAACTTAGTACCTCTCCAGTTTTGTTGTCGCGGATAAAACTCAGAGTGAACTTGTTTCTGACTCATTTATCCTCAGGGTATCTGTTCGCGAAAAAAAAAAAACAATTCTCTTTCTTTGAGGGTAAACGAGTCATGAAGTTTCACTCTGGGATCTATCTGCAACAAAAAAGTAGATGGATATTAACCCTTCATTTTTTTAGAACTAAAATGTCTAATAATGTATTTCTTCCATCATCCTTAACTTTGGGTTGAATCGTTACTTACACCTCTACTTTACGTACACCTCTACTTCAACGATGATGCAAACATGTTGCAGGCAGATGTAGATGGAAATGGAACTCTTGATTGTGGGGAGTTTGTAACGGTAACTGTTCACTTGAAAAAGATACGCAATGAGGAACACCTACCTAAAGTATTCAGCTACTTTGACAAGGATGGTAATGGATATATTGAAATCGAGGAATTGGCAGAAGCTTTAAAAGAGGATCACCGTGGTCTCAGCGAACAAGCCATCCGAGAGATCATCCGTGATGTTGATGTAGATAAGGTCATCACTGTCTCCATCTGTTAGCGCCATTTTTCTCTGTTTTTCAAGACATTTTGATCATGCTTCTTGATATAATTATTGACCTCATCGTTCTAAAAGTTACATCTGTGCTATACCTTTTTTTAGACATGTCTATTAACTTCTGAGAATCCTATTTATAGAATTTAATTATTGGCCTTATACTGATCACATACAATATACTTTCTCACGTATTAATGCTGTATATCCTGCCGTTCCTGCAGGATGGTCGTATAAGCTACGAAGAATTTGTGATGATGATGAGGGGAGGATCAGATTGGAAACATGCGTCGCGCCAATACTCACAAGCACTGTTGGATACTGTCAGATTGTTGAAAGATGGTTCTTTGAGGACAAAGCTGGTGATGCCCTAAGCATGAAGACCACTGAAAAATGGTTGGTTGATAAAAATCCTTTCTAAAGGACTAATTAGCACCAAATCAACCCAATTTACATTTTTCGCTCATTATTCTTTTTTGTAAAATTCCCTTTTTGGCTAATTATGTCCCAGTTGTGATCGATTCGTCATTGCTTCGACGTAATGAAATGGAACAATTAATTACATAGTTCTCCATTTCCCCATGCAACTCTCTCTCTCTCCAAAATCACAGCAGCTCTTTCCTCTCACGTTCTCCTCTCTCTCTCTCTCCTCCATTTCCCAAAAGCTTGAACCAGCCCCCTCTCTCTTCCTCTCTCTCACCACCACAAACACCACTAACTCCTCACCGAGCTCCTCCAACTCCACTGCCCCTGAGCTCCCTCCGACGAACCGAAGCCGCTCTGACGAACCGAAGACGCTCCCTCAGACCCGACGCCGTCAACCTCCTCTCCATCTCCTTCGCCACCTTCAAACAACCCAGATCCGAGCTTCTCTCATCCAAGCTTTCGCTGGAGTGAATCTGGATTCACTCCATTGAATCTGGATTATATTGAAGCTCGATTCATTGGAGTGAATCCAGATTCACTGAATTGAATCCAGATTTAGTGAACTGAAACTCGTTATCAAACAATAGCAAATCTGCAAAAATAAAAAACAAAAAGAATAAGAAACTTATGGTAAAAAACAAGCTATAAAATTTTAAACCATGATAAGATTTCACATTTTACAGCAAAAAGTTACGATTTTTATGGTAAAAAACAAACACCTCACATAACTGAATCTGGATTCACTGCAGTGAATCTAGATTCACTCATGCGTTTATTTCTTCGAACTTACAGCACATGCATTTATTTCTTCAACAATTCATTAAAAACCATCCTAACCATCCAAGCTTTCGCTGGAGTGAATCTGGATTCACTCCAGTGAATCCGGTGGATTCACTCCAGGGAATCTGGATTCACTCCAGTGAATCTGGATTCACTCCAGTGAATCTGGATTATATTGAAGAATAAGAAACTTATGGTAAAAAACAAGCTATAAAATTTTAAACAAAAAGAATAAGAAACTTATGGTAAAAAACAAGCTATAAAATTTTAAACCATGAAAAGATTTCACCTTTTACAGCAAAAAATTACGTTTTTTATTGTAAAAAACAAACAACTCACATACTGAATCTAGATTCACTGTTGTGAATCGAGATTCACTTATGCGTGTCTTTGTTTTTTAACTGGTTTCTTCAAAAAAAAAAAACTTTTCAGACTAAAAGGTGAACTATTTCACCTTTTACAAGATGTTGAAGACAGAGAGAGAGTTGAGCGAACCTTGGAGGGTTGACGGAGCGGATCTACGGGTTCGGCGTTGGCGTCGTCGGAGGTGGATGATGGCGAGGTGGCAGGGGGTGGAGGAGCTCGGATCTGGGTTGTTTGATGGTGAGAGAGAGGAAGAGAGAGAGGGCTGTTTCTTTGAGGCTTAATTTTTTTAAAAAAAAAGCTGGATTGTGGTTTGGCAATTGCTTAATGCAATTATTTTTATGGTTAATTGCTGGTATACCCCATGTATTTTCGCCCAATTGCCATATACCCCTCGTAGTTCAACTGTTGCAAACAGACTCTGGAGAAATTAAAAATTATTATTTGACAAAAAGACCTCATGAGGATAAAAGAGCCAAACATTTCACTCAGGAGATCTATCTGCAATATTAGAACTATAAGGAGTCTATATGCAATTGAGCAATAGCCCAGAGGGTCTAACTGCAAGTATGTGTTCAATTGTACTTACCAACACTCAACTATTGATTGAAGATATAAAAGGGGGAGATATGCAACTTACTCAAAGAGAGAGAGATATATCTGCAGCAGCTTACTCAGAGGGAGAGAGAGAGAGAGGTTTTACTTTTTATCTAGAGCGAGAGAGAGAGGAGAGAGCAAGATAAGCTTTACTTTTTGTCTATCGACAAAGATGTGCATACTTCAAAATGATGTTGAATGAGTCCAGTGCATTTTATTAGTTGAAATTAACAAGCCAATAAGCGGATAGAAAGTTAAAATTATTGAGAAGCAATTAATTCTAATGAAACTAAAACAAGTTGTCGACAACTTTGACCATTTCCTGAGAAATTATCATATCTTTTCTATTAATTACAGGAAAACAGCTTTCAAATTTAGTAAATCAATATCAACATGGTACAATTTGTTGTAACTTGCACAAATTCATCATGATTTAATGGGATTTTTTATAGAAAAAAAATATCATACTTTTCTATTTTGATTTGTTTTCGTAAACCTTTACTAGAGTTCCTTGTTGTTTATGCTGTTTTTTCTTTAAAAATCGACGTTGGAGAATTTCTTCTTCTCTCATGTTATGGGTAAATATCAGAAAACTCCCCCTAACTTTGGACTGTTAGCAGATAGCTTCCCATAACTTTCAAAATATTAGGAAGCTATTTAATTTAGGGGTTTTAATGCATTATTAGAAAATGCCCTTAACTTTAAGATTTTATAAGAAACCCCACTAAGTGTGTAAACCACAATTTTTACAGGTGAAAATATCTCTGTGCCGTAATTTTTCCCACCAATGTGAAAATTGTTGTTAAAGTTGTTTTGTGGACTTTTTTTTAAAGCTAAGGGAGCTTCTCGGATAACTCCTTAAAATCCTTAGGGGGTGTTAGTCAATTGGGACATTTTCATGTAAAATGGGATAATTGTTGAAATGGAATAATTTTTTACTAGTGGGATATTTTAGTGGGATAAATAGGAACAATTTTGTGAAGTGAGATATTTTGATAAAATAACGTAGGATAAATTTTTATAATCATGAAATATATATTTATGCATTTTGAAGATATAAATACTATTTATGTATTTTAAACTTACTATTATTGATTGATAATTGCTTAAAAGAATGTTCTTTACTAACTTTTGGTTAGACTATAAGATATTAATAATTATTATTATAATGATGGTCTAATGATGGTGATAACCATAGTAGGAAAGAAGTAAAGAAAAAAAAAGAAAAATAAAAAATAAAAAATAACAAAATAAATATGAGTTCTAGTTTTTTACCACCTAGTTCTAAGCTAAAACTTGAAATAATTTGAGAGACTAGAACTCTCATTTTTGTATAGAAAATAAAACAAGTGGGATAATTTTGTACCATTATCCCAATTCTAGTTTTGTTATAATTCTACTTGACTAACACTGTAAAATTTTATTCTAGTTTTAGTTCTATGTGACTAACACCTTAAAAATTTATCCCACAGATTATCTCAGTTTCAATTTTAAGTTCTATGTGACTAACCCTCCTAAAAGAGTTTTCTAGTATTTTGAAAGCTACTAGGGTTATCTCATAATCGTCCAATGTTAGGCCATGGGAATGTTGCTTTAATATTAACTTTGTTCCTAGCATCAACCACCGTTTTGTTTTGGAAAATTTTCTTCAAGGTCCCAAATCTAGAAAAGTCATGTGCCCTAGGCCGAGATACTTTGACCCATATGCTAAAGCCCTTAAAAATCCCCAAAAATATGATCGAACCCCCATAAACAACCTCGTACCCATTTTTTGGCCCACACACCCGAAAATTCCCTTCGCTCTCTCTCCAACCTCGATAATCTAGATCCGGAGCTGGAGATCGGTCGCGGTCGCAATTAAGGTGACTTGATGGCGGTTTTGGGGGGAAAGTTTGGGAATTTCCCTCTATTATATCTCCTCTTAACCCATTCTTGTGTGAATATAGTCCATTTATGGTGGAAAGACCACATTTATGAACTTAGGGTTTATGATCTTCAACCCCCCTCTTATCCTAACATTCCCTTCATTACTCATCTTAAATCCTCTTTACTTAGGGCAGAGAAACCTCTGATTTGCATAGTGCCCTTGAGTGGGAAAGCGGTGTTCTCAATGGTAACGTCTTCAACATCTTTTTTTGAATTTAAGTTTGATGTGGTTGAGAGGTTAAAGGTTCCATATGACGCATTATCAATGGTGTATAAATCTGAAAGGAACCCTGATCTCAGTTTTGAGATTGAGAATGAAGATGATTTGAAGTGTATGATGAAGTATAACCATAATATTGGGTGTGCAAAGATCCGTATCCGAGTACTATAGATGTAGATATTTCCAAATCTCAAAACACTTAGAAGGAACCTCTTGAAACGTAAGTTATCGTTAAATTGTTGAGAAAATTGTGAATTATGTGATTAAAATGTGGAGAAATGACTAGAGAATTGTTTCAGGTTAAATGTTATATATGATTGATACATGTTAACTATTTAGCACGGTTGTTAAGCTTTACGGGATATGTGTTACTTTTAACGGTGCAGAAGTTAACTACTAGCTGTCTTCATTATTTTAACAAAAATATTTGTATTTGTACAGCATTATAACTATATTGAAGTCACAGTTTATTGATAGCACTCCTGTCGCAAGTCATAGTTCAGAAAGGATTCCCACTGATAATCCTAGTGGTGGCAATATAATGCGATCCAATGACATTATTAACAACATAGTGATGAGTCCTACTTGGTGGCATAATGCATTAACTGAAGAGGATCAAGAATTTGAAAGCGCTAATGAATTAAGTTTGGCTTTGATATACTATTATATGTCCAAAATGTTTGATTATGAATTTGTAAAGAACGAACCAAAACGTATCCATGTTTATTGTCGATATAAAGAAACTTATGAGTACCATTGGATGTTGTTTGCTTCTCCTGTTAAGAATGAAAAGAGGCTTTCAATCAAGAAGTTTGTGAATGAACACACTTGTGGACAGCAAGGGAAAAATGCAAGTCGTTCAAGGGCATCCCGTAAATTTATTGCAACACAATTGCCACTTCTAAAGATCTGTCAAGAAATCTGCCCTATTGATGTGCAAAAGGATTTCCTCACAAAGTACGATCTTAGAATTGATTATAGTAAGATACGGTGGGGGTAAAGAGAGAGCACAAGAGAAGCTGTACGGAGAAATATATCAGTCGTATGTTCAACTATGATGGTAAAAATTTGAGCTTTATTGTTATAAAGTTTTAATATCTTCTAAGTATGATAGGCAAATATTAAGACTAACAATTAATATGTGAATGTTGCCAAATGTTTGTTAAGTTACACATATAACATGTTAAGTCTATTGGTGTTACACTGGTAACATGTTACATTTCGTGGTTTGCTTGTTAAAACACATTGCTAACATGTTAACGTTTGCTGTTTACTTGGTAAAAGTCATCAGAAACATGTTAACTTTCGCCGCTCTGTTGTTAAGTTACACTGATAACATGTTAACTTAACTTTCGATGTTTGCTTGTTAATTTTTAGGTATGAATGCATGGTAAAAGAGACAACCAGGTAAACAGAATGAATGAATATTTTCAAGACTCTTTATTTGTTACGCTGTATGCATCAATGGTTTCTTGAGTGGATGCAGACTCCTTCTATTTTTGGATGATACTTTTTTGAATGATTGATATAAAGGTATACTCCTTTGCGCCATAACATACGATGGGGACCAAGAGATATTTCCCATAGCTTATTGCATATGCGGTCAGGAGACTTTGATGAATTGAAAGTGATTCCTCCAAGGTCTGTGGTCTATACTTTATGAGAGGCCTGACTCATACAATCCTCCTCACTAATTGGTTATAATTTCGGATGCGAACAAAGAAATTAAAGAATCGGTGAACGGTGAAAGAATATTTTTCAGAAGCTCTATACTCTAGATGTGTTCTACATCTCGTTGAAAATTTTAGGTTAAAGATAAAGAACTTAGGTATGAAATCGAAATACACTCATGTTTTGGGAAACTTGCTCCAGTCTACTTGTTATAAATACACTATAGCAGAATAGAATGATTATATGAAAGAAATATATGATATTAATCTAAGGGCATATAACATTGTTGTTAACTGCTCTCCTTATTAGTAGACAAATGCATTCTTTCCCGGAATTAGGTAACATTGTACAACACATGTTAGCTTTGATTAATTAACAATGAAGATTTGTATCGCTAACGTTAAGTTTTGCTCATAACTATTAACTTTCATAATGAAACTATTAAAGTTTGTAGTATAACTGTTAACGTTCAACCTAAAACTATAAACTTACATTGTTTATTTGTTAACTGTCAACCTATAACTGTTAACTTACATTGAATAACTATTAATGTTTTCCTAATATATTTTCAGGTATGGGTACTTAACATCTAATGTGGCTAAGTCTTTTACTAATTGTACAAGGGAGGCTAGATTACTACGAATTCTACAAATGGTTGAGCATATTCGTAAACAAATTATGGCCCGCATGAATAATCATCGAGCACTTGTTGATAAATAGAGTGGATATCTCTGTCCGCAAGCAGAGATAGTGCTTAAAGAAAATATATATAAAGGTCATCCATTGGATGTTAAACAACCTGCAAATAAAATGTTTGAAGTGCAATCCCATAAAACTACACATGATTTGGAGAAGAAGACATGCACTTGCCGGGCTTGGGACGTCATGCGAATTCCTTGTAAACATGCTTGTATGGTCATTTTGTATATGAAGAGAGACGTTTACTAATATTGCGATTGGTTTATGTCAAAGTATTTAAAAGAAGTTATGAGCCAATTCTCTTTCCCATACTATATTTTTGAGAAGCGTAGTGTAGCAAGGGAGAAAAAGAACACGGTGTATCAATAATAGAATCATTTATAAACGTCCTTTAAAATGCTCTCGATGTCACACCAAAGGTCACAACTGAGCAACTTGCAACGAACCGATCGCTAATTGATATTAGGGATGCGAAATACTTTTAGGCAACAAACTAATCGCTGATTGATATTAGGGATGTGAAACACTTTTGTATGTAATAGCTATATATATGAGCTGTAATTCTTAGCTATATATATATGAACTGTAACCAGAATTTGATAACTAAATGTGGTACAAAATTGCTATCGCATTAATATGTTAACTGTAATTCTTTAAAGTAAACTATAAAAAGTAGCAGTTATCTATCATGCTCATGTGTGGCCATTCTCCTGTAACATGTTAACCATAATATGTTACATATTAACTGAAACAGGTAACATGTTAACTATAATATGTAACATGTTAGCCATAATCTATATCATGTTAACCAAAATTTGTAACATGGTGACCATATTCTGTATCATGTTAACCTTAATTGATAACATGTTCCTTTTAAATACAATACTAAAATAATAAAATAGCTATATAAATATAGTTATAATTATATAAATTAATGTCAATCTACGATGAGTAGCATATAAGTATCACATTACACCCCACGGTTGCACGATAAGTTATACAAACACGAGTTAAATATTGTTTTTTTTGTCTAGCTAAGATTCTTTCTCGGCCTTTTCATCTTTGGTTGATGTACTCTCCTTGAATCATGGGTCATTCCCGTCTAGGGTGCCTCTGAGCTTTTTTAATTCCCAACCTTCTATTATCAGCTTCGCCCTAAGCCTTGCACGTATTACCTCCGATAAATCATCAATAGGCGTAACATGCAGTATATCACATTTTTGGAGAATAGACCATACATAAAGGTAACGAACATTCCACAGTCATAGCTACAAATCACAAAATATAAGTGGTTAGTTTATATTAATGAAAATATTTAATAAAGTGATAGAGTTTATTTGCAACATACGATCCCTTTTGAGGCTCGCATGAGATTACCTTATATTGACATGTTCTCCAAACTTCATCAGGATCAAATGCGACTTTCATATGGTCCATGAAATTGATGATTTTATTAATAGGCTCAAGATAAGAACTGTGATCTGCCGAGCTATATTGCATGACAACATTTTTATCTAATCTAATTTCGACAAGATGCCAATGATCATGACAAACAATTGGGACGATGAGAATTGTTCGACCGGCGACAATGTGCTTTTATATATGCATTTGATATAGTTGTTGAAGATCAGGATGGTCTACATGGAGTGAATGTTGTTTTACCAAAATAAGACGATAAACAGTAGCAGTTATTTATCACGCTCATGTATTAATGTTCACTTGTATAAGTTAAGGTAAGATGTAACATGCTATCCATAATATATAACATATTAACCATAACCTACAATATGTTAACTCTGTCATGTAACATGTTTGCTATTACTTTAACCATGTTAACTATAAACTATAAAATGTTAACTATAATATGTAACTCGTTAACTGTAACATGTAACATGTTAACTATAACATGCAACATGTTAACTACAACTTGGAACATGTTATCCGTAAGTGTGACATGTTAATCATAACATGTTACATGCTAACTCTGTCATGTAACATGTTACTTATTACATTAACCATGTTAACTATAAACTGTAACATGTTTACTATAACATATAAGCTGTTATGAAACTATAACATGTAAATTTGAGGTGTTTGAGTAACAAGTTTACACAAAAAATGACGACACAATACCATACTTCTTGTTTATAGCAGAGTTTTCAGGCTTCTATAACCATGACCGTATTCTATCTAATAGCTCTTCGGTTATCTGCAAGTTAAAGATAAAAGTTATTCTTTCAAATCATAAATGACTTAGCTCCACACTTGTTTAAAGATGCAAGTTACCTTGTCATCGAGGCTTCATCCGCGAATCAAGTAAATAACTTCCTTCCTCGTAATCGTGCTATTTAAGGTAATGATGACATCCAATTTCCTAAAAAAAACATTAAAATAAGGTTAGACAAAAGGTTAATAGCTAAACGATACAAGTTAACTTCTAAACCCTAAAACATAACATATTCCAGGTAACAATCACAACTTGTAGTAGAGTGTTAACAACTAAATGATGAAAGTTAACATCTAAAAGCTAAAAAATAACATATTCCAAGTAATATTCACAACTTATAGCAGAGGGTTATCAACTAAATGATCAAAGTTATCAGCTTTTGCCCAACTTTCACATGTTTAAATAAAGATGAACATTATAGTAAAAAGATTAACAGTGACCAGCACTTGATGGCTATATTTCTTCTTGCAATAATGCGTGAGCTATTTGTTCTCCTCAGCTGTGAGTTTAGCTGCCACATTGCTTGGTATTCTGTAGTTATATACAAATGCCTCTATGTTATCCAACATTCGTAGACTAAACCTAGCTACCTCAGGAATCCCCTCATTCACGTTCTTTAAAGCAGCACGATCAACATCCAACATATACATTCATTTTAACAAGTCCCAATTGACAATGCTGTCAACATAGTAAACTTTTTATTTCATCTAAGTCGTCAGGGACAACAAGTGGTTCATCTTTATGGTCCCCTTTCTTAGATTTTGGTTTCTTTTGTTTGGTGAATGAGGTTCTAACTAGTTGTGATCTCTTGGTAGCTCTTGTGCTTGGAGCTTTACTCTTATAAATCATATAGCTTTTGGAGACCGTCTTCTCCATTCTCTTCATGAATTTGTAGAGTGGGATGTCCTCGTCCCTAGCTACCTCCTACTGCGTATGTACATCCGTAGTTTCAAGTTATGTATTCCCCTCCACATCAACTCTTTTCTCACTCAACTGCTCATCCTCTTCATTCTTATTTACTTCGACTCTCACTTCTTCATTTCAACTAAAATGCTTCTGAAGGTTACCATCTTCATAACCAAGCCTGAACTCATTATCAAAGAAATCTCTATCGTCATCATGTCGGTCAACTTCATTCGTGGTTGGCTTTCCTTTCTTTTGCTTTGCAATAAACTTTTTCATATTTTCTTTTAAAACTTCAGGATCTATTATATCATCAGATCCCTCGAATTCTTTAACATTTTTATTAAGTCTACGAATCTCGTTCATAAAGGTTTGACAATACAATTTCTTTGAATGCCTCAGTGCATAACATATTTTCTAATTTAATTTAGCAGTATTTCTCCAGAATTTGAGATGTTTCTCAAATGGTAACTCCTTAATTTCATCTTCCTTTTGAAAAGCATCATCAATAGCATTTGATATAATCTGTAATTTATAAAAAAAACACAATAATTAACAGTTACTTCTAAAACATTAGCATGTTAAACACTAAAGTTCACACACGTTACTTGAATCAAAATAGATACTAGATGCAGTTCACATATGCACAGTCTTTATTAACATGCAAGCAAGTAACATTAACATCCTTTCATCAAAGTAAATAGTTTGTCTGATATACTTAATAGTTAAAACAATAAACTTAATATAAACTAGCTTAGATCTTACCAAACCTATTGATGATTTCTTCTTTTCTTTATTCTTTTGTTCTACAGAATTTTTCCTCCTATCTACTTTCTTCTCCTTGATAACTTTTTTCGGAGAAGTTTGCATATGATGCTTCTTTACTTGGACTAGTGGAATCCCTTTTCTTCTAATCCTTAATGAATCATCTTTTCACATATTTGGCCTTCTGAGTGGATATTTTTTAGCCCATGGGCCAAATTCAGCTATAGGTTTCTATACAACAACAATGCGTACTTTTCCTGCTTTGCAACAATTGTTTCCTTTTGATAGAGATCCAAACTTCTCTCCAATCATCACCCAGTTAGTCAATGGTGGCTTGAATTTGTTGCTCATAGTATATTTTTAAACTGTCATTTCGTAGTACCACAACTGCAAAAAATTTATTCTAATTAATTAGTTAACATGCACTAATTATCTGTTTAACATGAATCAAGAAAATATAGTTGACAAAAATAAAGTGAACTGCAGTATTCATCAAATATAGTTAACACTAACCTAACAAACCTTAACACTAACCTCAATATAGTTAACATAAACCAGTTAACCTTAATTACCTTTAGCTTTAGTTGACAGAATACACATAAACATTCACATGCACATGCACATGTTAACCATAACAATAAAAAATTTAACCCGCCTTACAGAGATCAGAGGCATGCATCCAGGCACATATGAAATCCCTGGTTTGTTCAAACCTTCCCTAGTAATCTTAATGCCTTTCTTCCTTTGGTCATAAATGAATTTCCCATAGGCCACATTCTTCACTCTTTCAATACAATCAACATATTTGAACAAGAGTCTAGGGATGCCTTGCACACTGCTGGGGCACCAAATCATCGAACATTGATAAAGAATCTGCAACAACACAAAATCCTGAATATCCTTCTTCTTTTTTGATTCAATAAGAGATTCTAGTAGCCCTTCCACATATCTTCGCATATTCTTTGGTGATTCTTTTTCATTTATAGTAAATTGCTCAGCAAAATATTCCATCCAAATCCTAGTGTGAGGATCTCTATTGCTATAAATTATTTTCTCGTCAATTGGGAAACCAGTGTGATCATGAATCTAGTCCATATCAAAATTAACTATATTTTCTCTCCTACTGTCAGCTTCGGGTAGAGCAAATGTCACTTCACCTCCTACATAGTGACTCAAAACAAGTTCAAGCGTGGGTCGATCTACTGCTGGAGGACCAAATATTACATAATGCTTAAATGTGCACCCCTGATATGCATCCTAGTACCACCGCTTCATTCTCGGTTTAAGTACTTTTATAAAATCATAGTATGCGCTA